TGGTTCTCGAGTTATGTCAAAAAAAGACCACCAAAGGTGACAATTTCCCCTATATGATAGTTATATATATATCTCGATTCCCAGACGTGACCCACCAGCGAAAGGCCGGGACACGTATAACTTCTTTTTTACCGATATAACTTTCCCCGGTAGTTTGAACCCTTCCCGATCACTGACTCGGCAAAAAATATTTTTTTTCTTCATACACTTATTTTTACCGGCAAAACTATTGATTATATATAAAAACGTTATATGAACAGATTAAAGGAATTGTAATTTTTAATTTTTTTTAATTTATTTGAGCAAAATCGGACTAGTGGTTCTCGAGTTATGTCAAAAAAAGACCACCAAAGGTGACAATTTCCCCTATATGATAGTTATATATATACTATAACTTGTTTTTGACCGATATAACATTTCCCGTTGGTTTCATCCCATCCCGATTTTGACTGTCGCATAGTGTAATTTAATTTGAACTATTTTAATAATCAGTGCCATCGGATCCACACTGTTCCTTCGATTTTCAAACATTATTTGCCAAATTAAAGGGCTTGGGCTACAGATGTAAAATAAGGTTTTACCTTTTCGAAAAGAGCTGCCATCTTTCAAAAAATTTAATTAAAATTATTTAAGAAGTCAAATCTATTATTACAATATGGGTATCAATCGAAATGGGCTTGAAAGGGCCTTATTTCTTGACTAAGTGTAGGAGGGTTGCCACCTGTTTAAAAAACTGAGTTCATCTTAACTTAAGCCAATTGGGTAATTGAAATATGATCACAATTTAAGCAGGTTTTACTTTGAAAAAAAAAAATAATATGGGTTACAAACAAAGAAATGTTAAGAAATCTTTAGCTTGAACATTTAGAACAATGATGGGCAAAACGCTACTCGCGAGTAGCGTCTGCGTCGCAGCGCTTATAACGGGTGATTTTTTAAGAGCTTGATAACTTTTTTTTAAAAAAAAACGCATAAAATTTGCAAAATCTCATCGGTTCTTTATTTGAAACGTTAGATTGGTCCATGACATTTACTTTTTGAAGATAATTTCTTTTAAATGTTGACCGCGGCTGCGTCTTAGGTGGTCCATTCGGAAAGTCCAATTTTGGGCAACTTTTTCGAGCATTTCGGCCGGAATAGCCCGAATTTCTTCGGAAATGTTGTCTTCCAAAGCTGGAATAGTTGCTGGCTTATTTCTGTAGACTTTAGACTTGACGTAGCCCCACAAAAAATAGTCTAAAGGCGTCAAATCGCATGATCTTGGTGGCCAACTTACCGGTCCATTTCTTGAGATGAATTGTTCTCCGAAGTTTTCCCTCAAAATGGCCATAGAATCGCGAGCTGTGTGGCATGTAGCGCCATCTTGTTGAAACCACATGTCAACCAAGTTCAGTTCTTCCATTTTTGGCAACAAAAAGTTTGTTAGCATCGAACGATAGCGATCGCCATTCACCGTAACGTTGCGTCCAACAGCATCTTTGAAAAAATACGGTCCAATGATTCCACCAGCGTACAAACCACACCAAACAGTGCATTTTTCTGGATGCATGGGCAGTTCTTGAACGGCTTCTGGTTGCTCTTCACTCCAAATGCGGCAATTTTGCTTATTTACGAAGCCATTCAACCAGAAATGAGCCTCATCGCTGAACAAAATTTGTCGATAAAAAAGCGGATTTTCTGCCAACTGATTTTGGTAATAAAATTCAATGATTTGCAAGCGTTGCTCGTTAGTAAGTCTATTCATGATGAAATGTCAAAGCATACTGAGCATCTTTCTCTTTGACACCATGTCTGAAATCCCACGTGATCTGTCAAATACTAATGCATGAAAATCCTAACCTCAAAAAAATCACCCGTTACGTATACAGAAACGACGCAGCGAATTTCCATCCAGTCTGCTTTCAGTTTTCATGAGAGTAACATCACGCTTCGCCGTTGAATATTTTTATTCGTAATTTCAGCGCGTTGTTGCCACCTATATATGTAACAATGCCCAAAATGGCTGCGTATGAGTGCCAATTACAATTTTCGGTTTTAAGAAAAGCCAATAATGCCCAATGCTTGTTATGTGGTAATACGACTACTTGGAATCGTTCTTTTAATATAAGGCGACATTATTTGTCATGGTAAAAAAGTCAAACTGCCGAACTGTGTAAACCAATTTAAAGTTTTTTGTAATGGGTTTTATGTATATATGTATGTACGATACGGCAATTTAATATATTTAGTATACTTTATTGAATACTGAGTTTTTTACAAAGTTTAGAAATTTTAAATTCGTGAATTTTGTTGTTGAATTAACTATCAATTTTTAAAACATTAGTTTAATGAAATTAAATTAAAAAACTTTTCATGCACGTACATATGTACTTATAAAAATTAATTTCATAATTCATTATTTGAAATTATTTCTTCATTATTTGTTTATTATATTTTATTATTTTCGTTTCATGTTCATAATACAAATTAAATATAAATTTAAAAGAGCGTTTTCTAACACGCGCAAAAAACGACGCACTTTTGTACAATATAGAAAAGTGGCAACTGTTACTCAGCGCGATTCACGAATACCATGACAAAATGAGACTGTATTGGTGTGCCCATCTATGATTTAGAATATTGTTGCCAGCTGATTAAAGTGTTAAATTCAAATTTGTTGAAATGATGAATGAATTACTAAAGTATGGGAATCAATCCAAATGTGTTTAAAAATACTTTATTTGTCTCCTTATTTGAAGGGGGTTGCCACATGTTTCAAAAAATCATTTCAACTAAATTCATCAGGTAATTGAAGTATTTGTCACAATGTCAGATGAAGGAGATTAAAGAAATTTTACTTTTAAAATAATTTTGAATAGGGTTGCCACCTGTTGAAAGAGTCGAATTTATTTAACTTATATTTATGAAATAATAAAATATCAATGTCAAATGAATAAGTGTTACGAAATCTTTAGTTTGAACCTTTAAAATAGTTTTGAGGTGCTTGAAGAGTATTGCCACATGTTAAAAAAGTTACATTTAAATAATTTAAATGAATTATTAAAAAATGGCTATCAGTCGAAATGAATTTGAAAACATTTTTATTTCTGAACTATATTGAGGAGGGTTACCACATGTTTAGAAAATCAGATTCATATATAAGTTAAGGTAATTTAAATAATTATATGAATATGGGTGTCAGACGAAGGTTACGAAGTTGCCACCTCTTTTATAAGGTGGATTATTTAACTATGCATAAAGTTACATGAAATAGTAAAATGTGGGTGTAAAACGGATGAGTGGTAAGAATTAGACACTTAGAAAATTTAATATATACTAGTGTTCGCCCAGCGGTTGAAATTCAACCGCTAAAATTAAGGATAGTTTATGTTAGTTGAGTTGAGCTGAAATAACATTGGTTGGAATGGGTTAAGTGGAGGGGAGTTTAGCTTAGTACTTAGCATAATATAACATACCATAACATAAGATTAAATAACATAACATATGTAGCATAAGACACCACAGTATAACATCGCACATTCTTCAGTTGTATTTCCTTTTTATCCCTATCACTTTGTTCCTCTCTATATTCGTCTCTTTCGCTTTGAATGATTATGTTTATGTTTATCTTGACCTTCGTGTTCATGTTCATGTTCACGTTCATGTTCATGTTCAAGTTCATGTTCATTTTCATGTTCATCTTTATCTTCATCTTCATATTCACCTTCGTCTTCATCTTTATCTTTTCCTTTATCCTGATCTATATCTTCATTCTTTTCTTAATTTACGTATTCACCCCCACCATTGTTATTAGGTTAGGTAGTTCAATTTTCCTTCCTCTTGGTCTTTATATTTAGGTTTCTTTACTTTTATTCTAATCTTTGCCTTCATCCCTTTCTTCTTCTACATATTCAACTTTACCTTCTTCCTTGCATGAATCTTAATCTTCATAAATCTGATTCCTAAACTGCTGCTTAGCAGATTTCTTTAATTCAGTATAAATATTAAAGAATACATCTAGGAGGAATTTCCGCCCCAACCATGTACATGTACGGCACCGTTGAATCGATTTTTTCGCTTTATGTAAAACCAGTTTGAAATTTGAAAAATTGTCTGCACATCAGCATCAAAATACCTTTCTAATGATAGTTAGCCGTATAGTTTAGCCGTAAAAGGGGTGTAAAAAAAACACGATTGCCTATTTGTATATAAGATAAGATACCAAAAACCAAAAAAATATGGAAACATCATTATATTGCAATATATTCGGGGTCTTCATCAAAAGTGATATACTGAATTAATTATCATTTTATATCGTTTATCGGAAGTTTATCAATTTATATGAACGCCGCTATTATTTGATATTTCATTATATAAAATTAAAAATCTTGTTTATTTTGGTTCACTTTATGCCAAATAATGTTGTCATTGATGCCACATCAAGTGATATCATGTCATGTGGTGAAATTGGGTGTGGTGAGCTGCGGTGTGGTGGAATTGGGTGTGGGAGTTACGGTGATGAGAATTCAGGTGTGGTGGGCTTAAGAGGTGTGGTGAGTTTAGGTGTGGTGAATTCAGGTGTGGTGAATTTAGGTGTGGTTTATTTAGGTGTGGTGAGTTAAGGTGTGGTGAGAAAGTTGAGGTGTGGTGAGTTAAGGTGTGGTGGATTTAGGTGCGGGGGGCTAAGGTGTGGTGAGTTGAGGTGTGGTGAATTTAGGTGTGGGGAGTGAAGTAGTGGTGGATTTAGGTGTGGGGAGTTAAGGTGTGGTGAATTAATGTGTGGTGAGCTCAGGTGGAGTCAGTTTTTAAGCGGGGGTGAGAATAAGTTAAGTTAAGTGGTTATGATCTTTATCCTTATCTTCATATTCATCTTCATCTTCATTTTCATCTTCATTTTCACCTTCATCTTCATCTTCTTCCTCGTCTTGGTCTTCATCTTCTTCTTCATCTTTATCTTTTCCATTATCCGTATCTAAATATGTCCATTATTTTCTTCATTCACCCCCACCATTGTTATAAGGTAAGGTATTTGAATTTTCCTTCCTCTTTGTCTTTATATTTAGGTTTCTTTACTTTTCTTAAAATTTTTGTATTTATCCCTTTCTTCTTCTCCATACTCAACTTTACCTTCTTCCTATTTTGAGTCTAATCTCTTCATGTACATACATTGTACATACAAAACATCTTATTCCTAAATTGCTGCTTAGCACGTTTCTTTAATTCACTATCAATATTAAAGCATACATTTAGGGGGCATTTCCGCCACAACTATGTACATACATGTATGGCATTGGTATTGGTGTGACTTTTGAATTGATTTTTGCGATCTATTTTAAACTAATTTGAAATTTTAAAAATTGCCTGCACATCAGCATCAAAATACCTTTCTAATGATATATAATTGTTTATACCTTAGAAGTATAGTTTAGCCGTAAAAGGGGTGTAAAGGAAACATGATTGCCTATTTATATAATTGATTTGAAGAGGAGAAGGGTTGCCACTTAGTTGGGGAAATCGAGTTCAAGTTAATTCATGAGTCAATTGAAGTGGTATCACAATGCCAAATGAAAGACATTTAAGAAGATTTTAGTTTGAAAATTCTTTTGAAGACGGTTGCCACATGTTTATGTGTTCGAAAAAAATTTATAAACTTTCGTACCCAAAATTTTTCCAAAAACAAAAACAATAATTTTTATTTTTATTTTTTTTTTTTTAATATTTTTAACGTTTAAATTTGGTTTTGTGCAATTGGTTTTCGTTATTGCGGAGCTCTACAGTTTTGTTCAACCAGTTTTTATTATGTAATATTTATTAACTTATATTTATTAACTGACATTTATTAACTGGAACAGAACTTGCTACTTTTTCCGCACTTTCCACTAAAAAGTTTAATATAAACATATACAAATTCAAAGACCGAGCTCGACTGGTCTCTTGCTAATTTATAAGCTTTCCTTAAAAAAAAAATAAAATTCAATTTGGTTGAAAAAAATTAAGGCTGCAGTGAATTACGAACATTAAATTCCAGTTTTGTACGACTGTGCGATGCGAGTAACAAACTTATATGGTGGAGGTAACACTTTTCCGCCCTACTGAATATCTAATATATTTTTCGATTTCCAAGATGCTTTCGACCGCACGAAAAGGAATTGCATTTATGGCGCGATGCCGGAATTTAGTACGCCTGCAAACCGGCAGTACAAAACTATAAGATTCGTTAGAATTGGGAAGAACCTTGCAGAGCCGTTTTATATCATATGAGGTTTGAGGCAAGAGTATTCCCAATTGTGTAGTTTTCTTAATACAATCATTATATTCTAATGGCAGGGTTGAAAATTATAACCTCGAAAAAGTAGACCACCTCGTCTACTTGGAAACCGGCGTTGACATCAATTCCTATTTATATCTGCAACGAAGTATTTTGAAACCAGCGCTACTTTTGTACTTCATAAGTGTTATTATCAAGCCCGCCCTGACACAAGCGTAGACGATGACATCATTTGATAACGCGGTCCTAGGGGATTTTAAGAAACAAATTTTGACTGAGGTTTTTGGGTATTTACGAGTTTGTGGTAGGGCAAGTACGGGAAACAATGAAAGGAGAAACTAAATGAGCTTTACAACGCCATTAACGTAGTGTAGCTTATTAAGACTAAACGGCTATATCAGGCCATGCTGTACATGTTCTAGCCCTGGAAGTATTTGACGTGGTACCTGCAGGTGGTCTTAGAGTCAAAGTAAGGCCTCCTCTGCATTAGATAGACAAAGTCGAGAAACAGTTGGCTTCACTTAGTGTTTCTTATTGGCGTCAGTTAGCAAGAAGATGAAATGAATGGCGGTAAAAATCGTTCAAAGCGCTAAAGCGCCTAAGAACAAAAGGAAAAAGACAAATAAGTACTTCCGTTTGGGGTGCCAAACAATGGATATGGCTTTGACTTCAGTCCATTTTGTTACAAATATTCAAAAATTCTGGCTTCGTAACACATATTTCTTTATTTCCTGTGGAAATAAGTAAAACTTATTTTTGCTCAAAATTAGTTTCTAATTAAGTTTTGACTACAGTGATTTATAAATGTTAGTTTGTAAAAACTAGAGGGTGCCACGCATCAACACCATTGTCATAAGTGGCCTTCAAAAAGCAGGCTACAACTAACTTGACAACAGTTTATGGCTTATGACAGTCGCTTATAACTTATCATCAGTGATAAAATCAATTTATTATTATGCAAAAAATGATGGCACTTTGCATTCATGACGCACGTACACACATATATGCTGACCGTCATCGCATGCGTTGAGACCAGTGATCGGACTTGAAAAAAAATTTGTGTGGTAGAATCTGGAAAAAAATGTGGTAGATTTCAAAAAAATGTGGTAGATCTCAGGTTTTGGATCAAACTTTTTACAAAAATTAAAAATATTCTGCAAGGTTTCACCTAAATTGCAAACATTTTAATTGAATCTA